TCCCCCAGATTTGCTGACCTGTGCATGTACATTGTCTAACTGCACAATCCCTGGTAGAATGTAAGCTCTCAGAGGACAGGGACTGGGATTTTTCTTTCTTTTTCATCCCTGCCCCTTAGTCCAGTGCCTGGCACGTGACAAGTGCTTAATGGAACTAAATTAGATTTTTAAGAAAATTCTAGAAAATGCAGCTCCACGATGGCAAGGCCCGTGCCAGCTTCTGGGCACATCCCTGGGCTTTCCCTTTACTAACTGCAGCTAATGTACACAAATCATCTTACTCCACACAGGGCTGGAAAGGCCCTTAGAGCTGTCTAGTCTGAACCTCTTATTTTACAGATGTGGCAACTGAGGCACAGAGAATGTAAGTGAATTAAGTGCAGGCAGGTATCTGGAGGCGGTGGAGCTAAGAGTCAAAACCAGTTTCTCTAAACCCAGAAGCTACTTCCCTTTCTTCACCCAGATTTGCAGCTGGATCAATAAAAACTGTAGCCTTCACAGACAGCCAGGAGTAGTCCCCAGGCTACCTGAAACGTGGGTCACTTGTGTACCCAGGGGATTCCTCACCCTCGTCAGTGCTTTCGTGTAGGAGAAGCCATGACCCCCAAGATCAAAAGCAGAGACCCCCCAAGACTGGGAGGGACAGAGGTCCAGAATTCCAAACAAGTCTGACTTCCGCAGCGACCTTCTGAGGTTAGGTGTGCAGAGTAACAGTCAGGCAACAGAAAGACATTGGGCTGTGGATCAGCTGTGTCCAACTCTGTGACCCTGTGGGACCATACTGTCCGTGGGGTTTTCTTGGCAAACATACAGGGGCGGTTTGGCATTTCCTTCTCCAGTGGATGAAGGCAAACAGAGTGAAGTGACTTGTCCAAGGTCACACAGCTAGTGAGTGTCTGAGGCTGGATTTGAACTCAGGGCTTCCTGCCTCCAGGCTCAGCACTCTATCCACTGAGCCATCTAGCAGCCTCCAGCATTATACGGTCTTTCCAACTCCAAGGCCTATGCCCTACAAACCCGTATCTCTCCCCCTTAGGAGCTCAGCTGCCTTTGCTGGGGCTTGCTGGGAAGGTCACTATCATACCATAAAGGCGGAGGGGCAGAGACCACAGACGGGGCTGGCGCAGAGCAATCCTCCATTCCACGGATTTCTAATCCAATCCCTCATTAACTGGTGGGATTCCAAGGCAGAAGGTGTTTTCTCCTTCCTCTTCCCAATCCCCAGAATTAGCTCTAATCTGTTTTTCTTCTCTCAGTTATGTGATTTTGTAGGAAGCTGCATCTTCCGTCTTTTGAATAAGCTCTGACAGGCTATACTACGCCCTTCGGACAAAGAGAAAAATGACAAGCTGCCCTGCCCTCAAGGAGCTTATGTTCCACCAACCTGAAAGCCCCGGCTCACTTGAGCTCAGTGCTGGCCGGGCTGTGGTAACCTACCTTTCTTTCCACAAATCTTATTCTAGTTTTATTCAAACACAATCATCGAATTTGAGAGTTGGAAGGGTCACCAGGGGTCTCCAGCCTGACCCACCCGGGAAAGGAATCAGAATCACAGCTGGAAGGGACGCTGAAACCCATTCATTTTACAGAGAAGAAAACTGAGATCACACTAGAGTACAGAGGGAAAAGCTTCAACCATCTATTGGCCTCCCCTCCTGACACAGTCCCTGAGGGTTACCATCTTTGTCCCAGCCCCCTGAGCCATTCTCCACTCACTGAAATTGCAAAGCGTAAGTGGCTTTCCCTGAAAAGATAAGGTGGCACATTTCCACTGGGAAAATCACTTTCATCTCTGCTGCCCATTAGTTCTTTAAAACACCTGATCTTACATAGCAGCATTTGTTCCAATTGGTAAAGAGAGTGTGGCTGGGATCTGTGGGTCAAACTCAACACAGTAAAAAGTTTATTCAACCTATGTGAGAGAGGAAGGATGGAGAGGACGGGACAAAAGGGAAAGGGGAGAGAGGGAAGAGGAAGAAGGGGGGGAAGGCGAAGAGGGAGGGAAGGAAGGGAGGGGGAAGAAAAGGGGGGAGAGAAGAGGGAGGAGGGGGAAGAAAAGGGGAAGAGGAAAGGGAAGGATACAGGTTTTCTCGTTATCTTAGAATACAATCCAATCTCCAATTCAGCAGCCCCCCCACTTCCCAGTATACTACATACTAAATTCAGATAATGTGACTCCCAGGTTTTGACTAAAAGTGAATTTTAAGTTCGTGAATTTAAAAAAAAAATTGATGAAATGCTTGGGGTCAAGCAGCGTGCTTTTACCCAGAATGCAAGCTCCTTGAGGGCAGGCGCTGTGATTATGTCTGTGTGCCCTCAGAGCGTGACTCAGCCCTGACACACCACAGATTAATAAAGGCTCCCTGCACAGTTACATTCACAGATTCTGAACAGGAAGAGCCCTCGGATTTGGTCACTCCTGCATCTCAATTTCCTCATCTGGGAAGTGGAGGGGGCTGGAGTGGATGGGGTCTAACGGCTTTTTTTAGCTCTATACCTATGGTTCTGTGAACTCCTCCATTTGGGGGCGGAGGAAACAGCCGGGAGCGGGGAAGAGCCTTGTCAAAGGCGGGGCAGACCTAAACACGCAGACCCCAAATTAGAAGCCAGGTCTCCTGGCCCCTAAAGCTTTCCAGCTCCCTCTGGGGTTCAGGGTCCGAGCAAGACCCTTCCAGTGCCTTCCCCTGCTAAGCCCGCGGGATCCTGAGTGACTCACTGACCCTCTGAATGTTCCTATGGAGCTCAGGCCAGAAGCATCACTACCGCCGCCAGGTTTCACACAAGGAGCTCTCTACTTGCAATTCTGGCTTCCTCCGTGCAGTCGAGACAAACACGTACTTTTCTTGTTTTTATTTCTTCCCCTCATTTAAAAAGTTTCTAAAACACCAAATACATCTCAGAAGCTATGCTTGCCAACAGAGTTAAAATGCAAACTTTCGGGAGGTTTGACTAAACAATGGCACGAACAGCAACTATTCCACTGGAATCTTCCCCCCACCCCACCCCCACCAAGTTGGGGTTTTGGTATTTGGCCAGGGGTGTACTTCAGCCAAATGGCAAGATGGGGAGTGTGCTAAGTCAATACCGGCCGAGATTCCGAGCACTCAACACTGGGTCACTGTACTAACTTGGGGCACCTCGATTCCGTGCCCCACCTTCCTCATTCCCCCGACCCCGGGCCCATAACGTGGCCGAGGGAGGAAAACACATCCAAAGTCGGAAGGTGAACCTGGGCTCGCCGGTCCGAGGGGCCCCGAGCCGTGCGGCCCGGCCCCAGCCTCCTCTCCTCCTGCAAGCATCCCTGGGGTCACATGCCAAGCCCTGATGACTCTTCCTTCCCACTCCGGCCCTTTTTCTTTTTAGAAGTTTACAAACAATCGTTTGGGTCCTCCCGAACCACATCCGAGCTGGCTCGGTTCCTCACCTATTTTTCTTACTAGAATAGAGTGTTGCACAGAGCGGGTAGAGTCGGAGACACCATCCCAGCGTAAGGGGGCATCTGAGAAACCTCCCTAGGATCCCAAAGCAACAAAGCCTCTCCCAGGCAATCTTAAGCAACAGTTGGGCGGATGGGGAGGGTCCCCCTGGAATCAGAGACCAAACCCCTTCCCCTCAGCTCCAAATATGAAATCCAGGGGCTGCTGGCATGGGAGGTTATCTCTTAGAGCGAGCCTTCCCATGAAGCAAGTTCCTACCCACGGACACAAACGCGCGCGGGCCAAAGTGCAAAATGAGAAAAATCCAGCGGCATCGGCCGGGAAAGCTCGCGGCAAGCCAAGCTCCAGGAGGGAACCGGGAGGAGGCACGGAGGGAGAGGGAAGGAGGGAGGGAGGGAGCACGGGGCCATGTGTGCATTCAGGCTGCAAGCGCCCGGAGCCTCACCTTTGCAGCGGCCGCCCGCTCCATGCTCGTCAGAAGCCCCGGCCGGGCTGCGGCGCGCGCCCCGGTCACCGCCGCCTCCCGAGCGGCAGCCACGGCGCGACGTTCCGGAACGTCCGGGCCCGGGCGCACGGGCTACAAAGTATCCAAGGGGAGCCGGACCGTCTGCAGGCGTTCGAATGCAGAGCGCCGAGCGGCTGGCGGGCTGCGGCGCGGGGCAGAGAGCGATCGCACTCGTCTCCCGGCCGTGGGGGGGAGACGCCCGAGAGGCCGCTGCCCCGTGGCCCGCTGCGGGCCAGCCCCGAGCTCCGCGCGTGGCGCCCGGCCTCCCAGCCGTGGGCTTTCACGCTCGCCTTGGCCGGGGGCGCGAGGGAGGGGCCGCGGCCGCGCGCGGGCGGCGGCTGGCCGGGCCGAGGCGGCGGTGTCCCCCCTGCAGTGTGGGGCCGCAGTGGAGCGGTCCGATCGGCTTTCTGCGCGGGAGAAGTGCTAGGGGGACGTCCCGCTCTGCCCAGCTGGTTGCAGCCCCCTGGGCCGCGGGCCGTGGCGGGGAAGGACCCCCGTAGCCTTCCTTGGGACGATCAAGGCAGTTGCCCCCGTGCCCCCTACCCGCCCCGGGCTGGTGTTTCTGGTGGGCTTTCTGGCCTGCTCTGCACTTTTGCTCGGCTTAACTTAGGAAGGGGCGCGCGTTGAAAGCTGGCTCCCGGTGCACGCCCATGTGCCCAAGGCTTTGCAAGCCTGGCCAGGGCCGCCGCATCCTCAACCCGAGCAAGGGCTTAGCTCTAGGATTTGGGCAACGCAGGCTCACGGAAGGCTGCCCTTGCTCGCAGCCTCCGCTTTTGCAAAGCATGGCGCTTGGAAAAGTTCAGAATTAATCACGTGGAAATATTCAACCTCTGTTCTTTCCCGAGTTACAAAGTTGCCACAAGCACCTCTGTACCCCTCGGAGGGAACCCGCGGGCGCCCAATCCCTGGCTTGAGTGGGACTCATTGTTCAAGGAGCACGTGGGAGGGCCCGGCTCCGAATTTAATTTTCCCTCCAACGGTGGATGGGGAAGAAAGCTGCTGAGCAGTTTTAGAATGAAGGCTTGAGTTTAGTGACAAGACGACACTCTTATACTTACTGTGGCCGAGTCCAAGAGAAAAAAATTCTCATAATGCACTTGAGTCCTAGCAGGGAGGTCCTCAGCTGCCCGTCTTGGGATCTGCAGTCAAAGGAGACCAGAGTGGGAATGACCGCCCTTAATGTGACCCTGATAGGCCCTAATTTCCCCATCTGTAAAAGGAGATGAGTGCAGCGTGCTCTCCCGCTGAAATACTGAAAGGGTTCTCGAGCACTTTCCTCACTTCCAGTGAGTAGCTCATGCAAATAAATCCCCCCACCCCCTTCCCAGAAAAGGCATTTTACAGCCAAAGAAACTGAGGCTCAATACTGGCAATAGACAGCTAAAGTTAACCCGAAAAATGTGCCCTTTGATTCGTTAATTCCCAAGTTCAAATCTGGCCTCGGACACTTACTAGCTGTGTGACCCTGACCAAGTCATTTCACCTCTGTCTGCCTCAGTTCACTGACCTGTATAAATGAGGTTAACAACAACACCTACTTCCCAGGGTAGTTCGGAGGAGCATTTGTAAAGTGCTTTGTGAATCGTAAGGTGCTTTATAGATGCTGGCTAATATTATTGTTGTTGTTATTAATACCATTTTTAGTCACATGTGTTGAGAGTATACTTTCAAAAACAACCACAAAAGAGCTGTTAAGTACAAAGATTGTCAAAGCAGCTTTATGGGCAATCACAAGCAATTGTAAACAAGCTGAACGTCTAATGACAGGGGAGGAGTCAGATAAATCGGGCTACATAATGGAATAGAATCCTTTGGGTAGATAAGATGGCCAAGTATAAGGGACACAGCACTTTGGGTCCCTTTATAAAATTGTGCGAAGTGGATGGGGGGGGGGAAGGAGCAGACCCAGAAGAGTAGGGTTCACACAAAGCAAATGCTAGCCCAAAAGAGGAAGAGATAAGGAAAATGAATAGACAAATAGCCCAAGGAGGGCTTAATGGAGGACTTTCTGATATTGATTCATGAGTTGAAATGATTGAATTTAGATAGAAATAGGTGCTGGCCAATTTTATAATTGGCTGTACTGATGTGCTTTTTATTAAAATATTTACATTTATTCTAAAAGAGGAAAAAAAAGTCAGAAACCTCATTTGAGTTACCCAAGGGACACACTGTTGCTATCTTCTAATGAGGGAAGGTTTAGGGCTCCTGCCAAAGTCAGTTCTTTTGAAACAACTTTGTTCAGAACTGTTCTGGACTTGCCTTGCAAGTTTCTGAGTGTTAATTACTGAGGTCCAAATGTTGCTTTTTTAAAACCCCATCTATGTAAGGGCACTGCCCCAAGGCCCCCTGCCTGATCAGTGGGTAAGTCCTCCCAACTGGATTTGGAAAAGAATTTACCTCATTTTAGCTGAAACATTTAATGAGACCATTTTATTTGGTGTTATTAAAAGTTCCATCCTGCCCTTTTGAATGTTTGATTTTAAGTGATCCAAACATCACAGCTAATGGGAAAGGACCAGGAAAGAAAGTATGACTCAGTCTGTGTTCCGTGGGCAAGAAAATAAAGCATTGAAATCAAAAGTAACCTCAGTGGCGGGGTGGGTGGATGGGGCCAGCTTTTTATGAAGATTTTAAAATTTTATAACCAGAGACATGAAAGATGTTTTTGTTAAGGTATATGTTTTTTTCTCCCTCCAGATGTGGCCGGGCGGCCACTTGTCGGCGATGTTGTCGAGGGTATTGCTGGTCAGGTAGGGATGGGACTGACCGGTCACTGAAGTATCTTCTCTTTCTGAGATATTAGTATTTTAAAAAGAACGAAGCCTTTAAGTTCACTTAAAATAAAATTTAAAAATAGTAGTGAAATGCATTTTTGAGAGGACAGATTCCCACACTTTGCCTTATTGTTATCACTGATTTCATAAAGATTTTTAATGTCATCAATCAGGAGCTGGAAGAGGGGGTATTAGTGACTATTTAGTCTGATCCTCTGTTTTATTAATATTATTAATGATGATAATGATCATGGTGGTTAGTATTTATATAGCATTTTATAATTTTCAAAGCTTTAAATGACAGTGCCAGGATTCAAACCCAGGTCCTCTGACCCTAGGTGCATTGCTTCGGCCATTCTACACTGCCTTGAGTCTGGCCACAGGCAGAAAACCCATCCCTCCCAAGCCAACCTGCCACTGAGCCTCTCCAGACTTTAGTAGGCTGTTGCTTAGGGGACGGCCATCCCATAGGTTCCCTGGGCTTGTACTCAAAGACAGATCTCACTGAAGAAATCCGTGTTGTGGGACCAAGAGGAGACACCGGCCATCCCTGTTGTCCTGTCTTCAGCTGGAGATGAACAGAGGACACTTTGAATAAACCTACAGAGAATGAGCTGACACAGGTTTATTCAACCACAAACAGAAGTTATCAATCTGTTCGGTTATTCTTCAAACATTAAACATCAAAAAATAATAGCAGGAGAGTGACTTGTCTCAGGACAGTTTTTAACTGAATTCCACTGGAAAAGATGAGAAACTAATAAGTCGGGGAGGGGAGAAGAACAGAAGGAGGAGGAGGAGATGAAGAAGGAGGAAGAGGAGAAATAATGATAGGCAAATATAGTGCTTAGAGTGCTGGACCTGGAGTCAGGAAGACCTGAGTTCAAATCCAACCTCAGACACTTATTAGCTAGGCAAGTCACTTACCTGCTGTCTGCCTTAGTTTCCTCATCTGTTAAATAAGGCTATTAATAGCACCTACCTCCCAGAGTTGTTGTGAGGATCAAATGAGATAATATTTGTAAAGTTCTTTGTAAAACTTAAAGATGAGGAAACTGAGGCTCTGTCGGTCAGTAAGCATTTATTGAGTGCCTACTACATGCAACCTAAGTGATGTGCCTAAGGTTGCCCAGCGAGTAAGCTGCCTGAGCAGGATATGGAGCCAGTTCTTTTGACTCCAAAGCCAGCACCATTTAGCATGCATTTCCTTCGACTCAGGGATTTGAAGTCATTCAGTATGTCCACCTGCCATATGCGTAAAGACACAAGTTGTCTCTAAGTACTGGACATTGAAGAGGAACTTGACCTAGTTGGTTGGGCCCCAAGAGATGGAGCTAGAAGCGAAGAGAAGAGGTTGTAAAGAGGGAAAGTTAGGTTTGATAACCAGATAGACCTTACACTGAGGTGTTCCAAAGTAGACTAAGCCGCCTTGGGAAGGAGTGAGTTCCCCATCATTGGAGGGCTGCAGAGAAAGACTGGATGGATACTTTTTATCAGTCTCTCTACTGATCTCCAGTCTCCCATCTCCAACTGCCTTTCAGGCATCTCAAACTGGATGTCCAAAAGACATCTTAAACTCAACACATCCAAAATAGAGTTCATGGTCTTTCCCCCTAAACCCTACCCCACACTCCTACGTTCCCTATTACTGGAGAGGGAGTCTGTCAGGCTCCCAACCTGGGAGTCATCCTGGACTCCACACTGTTCTCTCACCCTCAGATCCAATACGGTACCAAGGCCTGTGGATTTCACCTCTGCAGCATCTCCCAAATCTGCCTCCTTCTCTGCTCTCACATGGTCCCCACCCTGGTGAACGGCCTCTCAGCTTCTACAGGAAGCCTTCCCCAGCCTCTCTTCATTCCAGTGCTTTTCCTCATTTAATTATCTCCTATTCATCTTGTATGTAGCTTGTTTGCACATATTTGTTTGCTTATGGACTCCCCTTTTAGACTGTAATCTTCCTGAGACTATCTTGGGTCTTTTTGTGTCCTTGGCACTTAGCACAGTTCTGGGCACAAAGCAGGCCCTTGATAAATGTTAATTGAATTACGGGGGGCTCCTATTCAAGTACAATAGATAGAAATTGAACCTGGAGTCATGAAGACCTGAGTTCAAATTCAATGTTAGACTTTACTAGCTATATGACCCTGGCCAAGTCAGTTAACCTTTATCTGCCTCAGTTTTCTCATTTATAAAATGGGGATAATAATAGCATCCACCTCCTAGGGTTATTGTGAGGATCAGATGAGATAAGAATTGTAAAATGCTTTGCAAAGGTTAAATGCTATATAAATACTAGCTATCATCATCATCGTCATAAGTATTTATCTTATCCCTACCACTAGAATGTAAGCTCCAGGAAAGTAGAACTCTCTTAGATTTGTATCCCCAGCAGATCTCGCTCTTAGTTGACTTTGACAAAGAAGATTTATAAACACTTTTCTAGACGCAGGAAGTGCTTCTTGGGAACGTTCCCATCGCCGCAATCCCTGCTGTCGATGGGATCAGGAGAGGCAGAGGAAGAGCCCAGAGCCCAGAGCCCAGAGAGCCGCAGTCACAGCCTGTCACCAGCTTAGCTTTCCAAAGAAAACAGGGTTCCACCACATGTCTCTAGTGTAGATCACTGATAGAGAAGGTGACCCCGAGTCCAGTCTGGAGGCTGCAGAGAAATGAGAGCAACTGGTGAGAGTCAGGACAAAGAAAACAGGCAGAAGGAAGGTCAAAGGAACGGGGATTATTTAGTCTGAAGAAGGCTCAGGAGGGACTTAATAACTGTCTTTAATTAAATGAAAGGTTATTAAAAGGAAATTACTGGCCAGCTGTGATTTAAAAAAAAATGCACTAGGGACAGAACAAAAGCAAGAGAGTTTCATGCGAAGCAGGAGAAATTTCATTTAAACATGAGGAAAACTTCCCAACAGATTGACAAAGTAAAGAAAGTTACAGAATCTCTTTCTATGGGGATTTTTTTTTAGGAACAGTTTTGGATGGTTTAAATACAGTCTGTCTTTAAGAAGGCCCTAGTCGGCCTTAGATGACTCTTCTGGATAATTAATTCATCAAAGGCCAAAGTATAACGCCCATTACACATCTTTCATTCATTTCTAGGAATAGCTTCTTTACATGAATTTACATACAAGGCATTGAAGTATTCCTTGTTTTCTATTATTGTTGACTGATTGATATTATTGAATTTGAGTCTCAACATCCCTGTGTGGTAGGTGCTACAGTTATTATTATTTTAAAATTATATTAATAACTATATTCATATAATTTTTTTTTGCTTAGGCAATTGGGGTTAAGTGACTTGCCCAGGGTCACACAGCTAGTAAGTGTCAA